GTGTCGGAAATGGTGCGAATCTCCGCTTCGTCTCCACGGGGCAATTTTTTTTTGTTGTGTATTAGCTCCGCTTAGCCTCTGTGTCAATATCTACGATCCTCCCTCTGAAGAAATCAGCTGTGTCCACGAGCTCTGCTTCTTGGTATATATTGTTATTGTTGTTGTTATATAATGTCAATTAAGAGGATTAATAAGTGATACAAAATTATGTCTTCAATAGTTCCAATCTATTATATATTTAAATGCGGGTTTCACTATCTCGCCATGATTCAGCTTTTTCGACGTAATATTTTTGCGTTTGACAAAAGAATTTTTTCACGTTTAAGCTATATTGTATATTGCAATGGTTAAGGTTTTTTTTCGATTTTCCTGTTTGAAATCAGTGTTTATTTCACCCAGTTTGAAATTAGCAACCCAATGGTACAATGATGCCAGGCTTTACCCAGGTGTTGCAATTTTGGCCTCCATATATGAATAACCAAATCCTTTTAGGTTACGAGATAGGCAAGTTCCCAGATTTGTAGAAAAATAAATATTTCTAGAAAAAGAAATATTTCTAGAAAAATAAATATTCAAAAATCTGAAAATTTGAAATTCTCAACCCAGTAGTTGGGGACTTTCAGGGTACTCTGTAACATTCAACCGGAAGATACATATCGACGGAAAATAAAACTAAGTCCTAAGACGACTGGCTAACGTCTAAACAGAGCTTTATATGCTTTTCACCGTCTCTACCAAGCCAGTACTTTTCGGTGGTCTTTTCTAACATCGGGTCGACAAAAAACGTTACTGCTTTCGGCTTCGATCAAAACACTCAAATTAACTTAATTACATGCTGAAATAGTGAGCTCATGGCTGGGTCTCAGTATCCCCAGACCACGAGGTCACTCCTAAAAACAGGGCTACTACTATTTATTATATTACTATTGTTTTTGTTCAGTAAATAAAAATCATCATCTCCATCGAAGACGGATCAACCCCTTCCCCCAACTCCTAGCTTCTCATCCTTATCAAAATGAATCCAGTTGTTAATTAAATTCAAATCAGGACATGACAGGAAGCTAAAAGTTTATATAAAATGATAAGAGTTTCAGTCCCGAAACCCTTCCGGATTCTTGAATCCACTGAATCAAGCACGTTAAACTTGACTTCTCCGTAACCCGGAAGGCTGTCTTCCACCCTTCACCGTTGCTCGCAACGGCCTTGCAACTATTGTAGCGACACAAAAGTTGCAACTCGGAACGTTCTCTGTTAACTCCGTGATTCGTTGTCGTTTTTCGATCACAATTTCCGTTCTTCTCGCAATCGCTACTAATGTTGTTCTGTTGCTTTTTAGCTTTTCTGCCAAAATGGCCGTTTCTGACGTTTCTCAGAAATGTTACGTCATCACTTCGAAAATTTAAAATTTCAAAATACTAGAATATCTTGACCTTCACCGTTCTACTAATCATCCGAATAACGTCATTAATCCTTCAAAATCACTAACTCGGAAGGTTCACTGCTAAAAATTCGAAATCTGCAGAGATTGCATTTTTCCATTCTGGTCGAATGTCACACTCTCAGGGGTTGCGAATCTTGCCTCCAAATGTAATTTCTCAAATCCTTGTAGTTTTCGAGATTTATTTTCATTTAAAAAAAAAATTTTTTTTTAAATTTAGATTTTAAAAAAGTTGAATAACTTTGAAAATCTCAATCCTGTAGTTGGAAACTGTGAGGGTACTTTCGGGAGTTTCGAATCTTGCCTCTGAATTTGACTGCTCAAATCCTTGTTGTTTTCGAGATTTGAACGTTTTTTTAGGATTTTTTCTAGATTTTTCAAAGAAAATAGATATAAAAAATTTCGCCAAATTTAAAGTTCCCATCTATAAAGTGAGACTTCTTTCACGGTACTCCCAGGAGTTACGAGTTTTGATTCCAAATATGACTGCTCAAATCCTTGTAGTTTTCAAGATATGACGTTTTTTTGTGGTTTTTTCAAAAAAATTTTTTAGAAAATGTAAGTTTAATTTTTTTTTCAAATTTTTTAAATATCAACCCTCTACTGTGAGAGTATTTGCTTTTATGTGAAGATGACTGCTGAAATCTTTGCAGTTTTCTAGATTTGGTGTTTTTTGTTTTCAAAAACTTTACAGAAAACTCAAAATAATAACTTGTGTAAAATTTGAAATTCCTAACCCTGTAGCTGAGGGCTCTCAGAGTACTATCAAATGTTGCGAATCCTGCCTCCAATTATGCTTGCTTAAATATTTGTGGTTTTTGAGATGGACGTTGTTTTTGCTTTTTTAATTTAATTTGAGATGTGACGTTTTTTATGACATTTTGAAATTTTTCAAAAAACTTAGATATAACATACTATAACACAAAATTTTATGGTTTTTCTAACTTTGAAAAAAAACTTGAATAATTTTTTTTAACTAGAATAATTTTTTTAAACTAAATTGGAAATCACCATTACAACCCTGCAATTGGGTGCTGTCAGAGTACACTCAAAGGATGCAGATCTTATTTCCAATATATGCAGTTTTTTATGAGTTAATAACAATTAGAAGCACCGGAGGTGCGCAACACGCTAGTTTTTATAATAATATTAGTCAATTTTTTTGGGTCGTTTGTTTTTTTTTCACTTCTCTAGTAAGTTATCGAGTTCTTCGATCAGTGAATCGGTAAAGCCACCTGATTCGTCATGCTTTTTTGGCGGCTGGTTTTTGGTTTCAGTTTCTTTTGAATTTGTGTTAATTGTTTTTGAACCTGGGTTATAGTTTTTTGATTGAATATCAAATTCATTGATCCGAACTCTATTTCCTGTCCGACGAGACTGAATTTGAACATCTCTAGGACTGTTCAAAGCAGAACTTGTAGCTGATCGAGGACTGTTTATGGCGCTGTTCGAAGTTGCTGAGAATCGGTTTTTCGTCACTATTGGCTTGAGACCGATGGCTGCGCGGTTAGCATTGGTACTCTTGTAGCGATCTTCTGGATCCGGTGATTGCCTGGTTAGTGACCCTGTTCTAGGAGAAATTCTAGCTTTAGTCGAACAGCTGTTGGAGTTTATGCTAGAGTTTGATTTGTTCATAATGCTTTCTCGTGGTGAGCATTGTGGTGAGCCTTCGACAAAAGTCCTGGCTACTTTAGCCTTCATAGCTTTGTCACGCAATCTCGCGTACATGTCATCCAAATTTGCTTTGTTATTCAAGGTATCGCCTTTATTTGAGCCCGTCGGAGATGCCAATTGACTTCCTGGATTGCTGGCTGAAGTCTTTAAGATAGGCTTTAATCGAGCAGGGTTGGCCTGGTTAGACCTGGGCGAGTTAATGTCTATGGCTGGGACATCACTTGCAGAAGATAAGTTTCCTCCCGAAATTGCAGTCGGCGTAGATGTACGCGGTATTTCAACAGCTGGTTCAAAATGTAGCTCACTTGCTTCTGATTTCAACCCCGGTTTGTTCGAAGCCTGAACATATTCTTCTATTAATCGATCGTTTGATTCGTCATTAGGGTTATCAGGATCAACCCCTTCCCCCAACTCCTAGCTTCTCATCCTTATCAAAATGAATCCAGTTGTTAATTAAATTCAAATCAGGACATGACAGGAAGCTAAAAGTTTATATAAAATGATAAGAGTTTCAGTCCCGAAACCCTTCCGGATTCTTGAATCCACTGAATCAAGCACGTTAAACTTGACTTCTCCGTAACCCGGAAGGCTGTCTTCCACCCTTCACCGTTGCTCGCAACGGCCTTGCAACTATTGTAGCGACACAATAGTTGCAACTCGGAACGTTCTCTGTTAACTCCGTGATTCGTTGTCGTTTTTCAATCACAATTTCCGTTCTTCTCGCAATCGCTACTAATGTTGTTCTGTTGCTTTTTAGCTTTTCTGCCAAAATGGCCGTTTCTGACGTTTCTCAGAAATGTTACGTCATCACTTCGAAAATTTAAAATTTCAAAATACTAGAATATCTTGACCTTCACCGTTCTACTAATCATCCGAATAACGTCATTAATCCTTCAAAATCACTAACTCGGAAGGTTCACTGCTAAAAATTCGAAATCTGCAGAGATTGCATTTTTCCATTCTGGTCGAATGTCACACTCTCAGGGGTTGCGAATCTTGCCTCCAAATGTAATTTCTCAAATCCTTGTAGTTTTCGAGATTTATTTTCATTTAAAAAAAAATTTTTTTTTTAAATTTAGATTTTAAAAAAGTTGAATAACTTTGAAAATCTCAATCCTGTAGTTGGAAACTGTGAGGGTACTTTCGGGAGTTTCGAATCTTGCCTCTGAATTTGACTGCTCAAATCCTTGTTGTTTTCGAGATTTGAACGTTTTTTTAGGATTTTTTCTAGATTTTTCAAAGAAAATAGATATAAAAAATTTCGCCAAATTTAAAGTTCCCATCTATAAAGTGAGACTTCTTTCACGGTACTCCCAGGAGTTACGAGTTTTGATTCCAAATATGACTGCTCAAATCCTTGTAGTTTTCAAGATATGACGTTTTTTTGTGGTTTTTTCAAAAAAATTTTTTAGAAAATGTAAGTTTAATTTTTTTTTCAAATTTTTTAAATATCAACCCTCTACTGTGAGAGTATTTGCTTGTATGTGAAGATGACTGCTGAAATCTTTGCAGTTTTCTAGATTTGGTGTTTTTTGTTTTCAAAAACTTTACAGAAAACTCAAAATAATAACTTGTGTAAAATTTGAAATTCCTAACCCTGTAGCTGAGGGCTCTCAGAGTACTATCAAATGTTGCGAATCCTGCCTCCAATTATGCTTGCTTAAATATTTGTGGTTTTTGAGATTGGACGTTGTTTTTGCTTTTTTAATTTAATTTGAGATGTGACGTTTTTTATGACATTTTGAAATTTTTCAAAAAACTTAGATATAACATACTATAACACAAAATTTTATGGTTTTTCTAACTTTGAAAAAAAACTTGAATAATTTTTTTTAACTAGAATAATTTTTTTAAACTAAATTGGAAATCACCATTACAACCCTGCAATTGGGTGCTGTCAGAGTACACTCAAAGGATGCATATCTTATTTCCAATATATGCAGTTTTTTATGAGTTAATAACAATTAGAAGCACCGGAGGTGCGCAACACGCTAGTTTTTATAATAATATTAGTCAATTTTTTTGGGTCGTTTGTTTTTTTTTTCACTTCTCTAGTAAGTTATCGAGTTCTTCGATCAGTGAATCGGTAGAGCCACCTGATTCGTCATGCTTTTTTGGCGGCTGGTTTTTGGTTTCAGTTTCTTTTGAATTTGTGTTAATTGTTTTTGAACCTGGGTTATAGTTTTTTGATTGAATATCAAATTCATTGATCCGAACTCTATTTCCTGTCCGACGAGACTGAATTTGAACATCTCTAGGACTGTTCAAAGCAGAACTTGTAGCTGATCGAGGACTGTTTATGGCGCTGTTCGAAGTTGCTGAGAATCGGTTTTTCGTCACTATTGGCTTGAGACCGATGGCTGCGCGGTTAGCATTGGTACTCTTGTAGCGATCTTCTGGATCCGGTGATTGCCTGGTTAGTGACCCTGTTCTAGGAGAAATTCTAGCTTTAGTCGAACAGCTGTTGGAGTTTATGCTAGAGTTTGATTTGTTCATAATGCTTTCTCGTGGTGAGCATTGTGGTGAGCCTTCGACAAAAGTCCTGGCTACTTTAGCCTTCATAGCTTTGTCACGCAATCTCGCGTACATGTCATCCAAATTTGCTTTGTTATTCAAGGTATCGCCTTTATTTGAGCCCGTCGGAGATGCCAATTGACTTCCTGGATTGCTGGCTGAAGTCTTTAAGATAGGCTTTAATCGAGCAGGGTTGGCCTGGTTAGACCTGGGCGAGTTAATGTCTATGGCTGGGACATCACTTGCAGAAGATAAGTTTCCTCCCGAAATTGCAGTCGGCGTAGATGTACGCGGTATTTCAACAGCTGGTTCAAAATGTAGCTCACTTGCTTCTGATTTCAACCCCGGTTTGTTCGAAGCCTGAACATATTCTTCTATTGATCGATCGTTTGATTCGTCATTAGGGTTATCAGGAATGAAGTACCTGGGCTTTGAAAGAAATAGGGTATCAGTCTGTGTTGTGTGAGAGGTTGTGATTAAGTTATTAGTTTGCGTATGATTTGATCGAGTCCAGTTGCTTATCGTCTGCACGTATTCTGGCCTTCCTGTAATGCTAGAATCTATCTGGGAATCACAATTGCGGGTGTCTTTTCCAGGGGTTTGCGTGATTTTGTTAAAGCTGTAGCTTGTTGCGATTCTACTGTCAGTTTGAAAGCCGCTTTCCTTTGTGTCAGTATAAAAAGTCTGAGTTCTTCGACTGCTAATATCTGTGCGTTCAACTTGAGAAGCGCTGTCTTTGAAGTTCTTCACGGCAGTTTGACAAGAGTCGGAACGCATAGCTGGTGACAGTTGCGTGCTACTGTTTACCATGACATTGGACAGGGTCTGGCAGCCGTATTCAGTTTTGGTCGTATGCGGAGTTTGACTGGTCTTTGAGTTGGTCTCGTTCTTGGCGTTGACTTGAACCATTTTGTTCCCCCTGACTTTCGGAGTTTCAATCAAAGTTTGAGTAGCCATGATGTTGGAAGATTTCTGTAGCCTGAAAAAATAAAATGTTTAAGTTTTTTTGAAAAGAGTTGTTTCATAACTGATTAGCATTTTGATTAAAACTTTGGAAATGTAACCAAGGCAAGTGAACATACCTGGTTTGAGTGCCAAATTGTTGTGTCGACTTTGCCTCGGTCTGAGCTGAGCTCTCCTCAATTTGATCTAAAGCTGCTCCTTGCTGTGTTGAACTTTCCTCAGTATTTGTTGTTTTTGTCTGAGTGCAAGCATCATTGGATTGTTTTTCATTATCTGTTTTGGCTCTCTTGGTTCTTTTTAGACTTCCTATCATTGTATCCACGCCTTTATTGGCGTGTTTGATTTCATTTTTCTTCTTCAATATTGGAGTGCTGTTGTGATCTATCAGTGATTTCGCAAATCCATCAGTGTATGCCTCAAAGTCACGCCCAGAATCGTTCATTTCTCTGAGGAAATCGGGTGCCATTCCTTTTTCTATATCGCCAATTGAGTCCAAATGGTTTGGATTTAAATCTACCAATTCGGCAGCTCCTTCATAAATGAGATCCTCATCTGGATATTTTGGTTCGTCTCTCTGGCCGTCTGAACAAGCATCTTTCGAGACGCCAATGGAATTACCAGAAGGTCCTCGACAGAGATTCTCCGCGTTTGTTCGCGCTCCTGGTTTGTTTGCTTTGTGGTCGCGTAGTTTTCTGTTCATTTGCTTCAGAAGCTTTTCAGCGTCTTGCTGGATGGTGGTCTTAGCTAAATAAGCTTCGGCTTCTAAGTCATTGGACGTGGAAGATGCTGAATCGTTATCAGTTTGGTCAATATGCGGATATTTATCTTCGTCGATATCTAAATTTGAAATTTGATAATTTTTCGGTTAATTTTTGAGAGGAGTGGTAAACAAATTAACTCTACTCACAGTTAACGAAATTAGGTTGAAGCTCGGCTTGATGTACAGTGCCGTCTATGAAGGGAAAGATCGCCGTTTCTTCGGCTAAGTTCTCATCTGAACTGAGCTCGGCTGAAGAGGTCTCGTGAAAGGAGACGCCCCTCGATGCTATTCTGTTCGGTGATGCCAAATTGTTGTTCAACGATGAAATCAAGAATGCGCCTGCATTGACAGCTGTTGTGCTAAGTTTAGATCCAGGAGCTGACTCATTTTTGGGCAAGCTGCTTTGAGCTATAGGCTCGAAAGACAGCAGCATCTTTTGGTCATTGGATTGCGGAAATTTATTAGGCGAAGAATTTGTATCTTGATTTTTCTCCGCAAAAATCTCGGCGCATTTAGCTTGCAATGCCAGTCGTTTTAGATTTTCCATTCGTTGGTTGAAAGGGTGTGTGCTTTGAGACGTGGGCCTGTTCTCCGATTCTCCAAGACCTACATGTGCATATATTTATTAATTACACATGCGAGCGTAGTGTTATATTACGAATTAGTTTTTTCTAACCCAACTAGCATATAACATTGCTCTTTTGTAGGCACTTTTGCTGCATAGAATTGACAATTTAATAACGTCCGTTCTACCTGTTTTATTGGTGGCGTATATTGGTACATATGCAAGGGCGTGAGAATCATAATCTCGAGGACGAGCGATTGAATCTGGAAAATTTCAAGGCTTAATTTTTCCCTTGTTTCACTTTTTTGTTCCGAGTTATGAAAAGATAAAATATTTGTTCTCGGCGTGGTTTTCTCTTCAGACAATTTTCGACTTTTAAATAGCCACTTTTGAATGAATTTTTAATCACATCTGAAAAGTATTAATGCCTTGAGCTCAAATTTAAGAAAGTATTTCACCTGTGATTATTTTTCGTAAAATTATGGTGGTTTGAAAATTGCCAATTTGGCAAATCTGGGACAATGAACGACCGATATATTTTTGTTCTATTCACTCGTGAGCGACGATTTGGTTCAGCCTAGAAATTGTTTCAATTTGATTTGATTAATATGTTGCTAGACTTGTTTCTTACATTGCGTGTGGGCAGACTATTTTCAAAAAAATATCTGAAAAATAATACAATTTTTATTTTTCAATTTCGATAAGAAAAAGATTAAGGGCATTGCCTTGATACAAACAGTCTTGCTTTCGTTTTAGTTATTTTTGCCGTTTTCTCGCCGTGTTTGCGAAGAACAGCTTCGCTTCTGTTTAATGGCTGAAATAATTAAAATGGTAGCATTAGACCACAAAACTTCAACGGTTACTTTTGCGATAACAGGAACTGTGTAAACGTTTTTCAAAACGCTAATAATTTCATGCAATTTTGTAACTTTTATGGTAGTTTTTAATGATTTTAACTATTATCTTAAAAAAGCGCTTTGTGTAATTTTTGATTTTTACTGTTGCGATAAGCAAGCGTTTTGCACCCGAGTTCTAGACTTTTTTCCCGTAAATAACTTTTTTCACAGAATGGCTAAATAGTTAATTTTATAACAGCCTAATTATTAGCATGGTTGGAGTGTATCTTGGGTGAACTTTAAGAGTTCTACTTTAATTTAATCTGTGCCAAAATATTTCGGTAGATTTTCGGCACCGGGGTCAGTCGGCTTTGTTTCTCTCGGCTTATTTTCTTCATGTTTTTTGCTTTCGTTGTTATGAAAACAAAGCGATTGAAGTCTAACGAGAAATTTTGAAAAACCTAAATCGACGTTTTAGGCTTTCTCTAATGAAATTTACAAAATAAACATGAAAAATTGTCTCCAAGTTTTTTGAGTGTTTCAATTTAAAAAAAATCATTTTTCGGCTTTTTCGTTTATGATTTTTGGGCGCAACATCGATTATCATGGTAGCAAAAATTTGCCGCTGTAGATCTATTTTGCGCTTGTTCACTTTTTTAATGGCTGATCTATTCGAAATTTGTGTTTTTATGCTGGTGTAAATTAACCAACTCGGTTTTTAAAAATTCATTTGTTTTTTTTCCGACTCGATCGGTTTAGGCATAAATTATATCCTTAGTAGCCTATTTTTGCGTCGTTCTTTGAGCTAAAAAAAGGTTATGTTTGTGTATTTTGAGGGCGAGGGGGACTCTTATTTTTTTTTCGGCTTGATAGGTTTCGGCCTCTGTTACATCTGCTTAATCGTCTCATTTTTTCATTTAACGAGCGAACCAAGTTTTTTGATGTGTGACGGTGAGGGGGACTCAATATTTTTTAAAAGTTTTGTTGATTTTTCGGTTTTCTTACCTCAGTAATTTTTCTTTCGATCGATGCTATTTTCACATTCTTTTGTCTTTGCATGTTTTTGTTCCAAAACTAACCTTTTTTTGATAATGATCAATTTTGAATTGAAAATTCGATTTTTCCTATCAATTTTTTTCGACTTAGCGCCCCTCTTGTTTTGTATCGCAAGTGGTGCGAAGCTCAATTTCGCCCTTGTTTTTTTTGCGTTGAAGTTCTTCTGTGCAGCCAATTTGAATTTCAATTTCTTGCTGTTTATGCAGGTGAGCTCGTATAAAATAGTGTTGATTTTTGCAGGTAAACTCTTGCTTTTTTTGTTCATTGTGTTCATTTTGTTCATTTTTGCTGCATATCATTGACAATTTAACAGCACTTATTCCATGCGCTAGTTTTCTAGTCACTAATAATAAGACTAACGAAAAAAATAGGTTATTTCTTAATTGAAAACTCTAGTCACCAATAAAGAGACTCGAATGAATGCAATCAAATTGCAATGCTATGCAGGAAAAATGAACTAAAGGAACACAGGTAACAAAATCAGTTTTTAGCCACCAAAATGAACACTATTTTATGCGAGTAACTTAGAAAATAAAATTGATTGCCCGGAAGAATTTTAACGCATTTTTTTTCTTCGAAAAATCAAAAATTGCCCGAAGCTCTATTTGTACTTTTAATTTAGATAAATTTTCGAGTAACAGATAAATTTTAAAAGCACATGAAAGTACCAGTGTTTTTTGAATGTCGTTTTTTTCTGCTTGTTGTGATATCTGTGCCAAAATTTGTGTGATCGAGCAATGAAATCAAATAGTTAACCTGAGTCGGGGCTAGATGTTGTGGGGGGAACTGCTGAGAGATCTTCATTGCCTGCGGAGGTATTGTAGTCGAAACTCCTGCTCTCGTGTTTTCTCTTGCCCGAGTGGGAGATAAAGATTCGTATGTCTTGAATAAAGAATCTCTGTATATTCCGTTCGAGTTTAGAAATGATCGGTTGCTCAGACTGCAGTTTTGTTTTTGAGCTCTCGACGGGATTTTCTTTTGCTGCAAGGGAATTAGGGACGACGCTTTTGCTCACTGGTATCCGCGACTTTTTGGATCCTTTCATGATTTTGTATTTTTCAAGGTCTTTGTTTTGTTTTGATAAATCCAATAATTGAAATCAAGGCTTGCAACTGCCTTTAAAATCTATTTTTGAAAGGTGAAGAAGGTGGTTTTGTATGATGTTGAAAATATTGTAATTTGGATTATGCTGAGTTTTGGTGACAAGCTGTATGACAAATTTAATATCGGTTTTTTTTTGGAATTACTCTAATGAAATCAAAAACAATAAATATGTACTGTAGGTGCTCATATCAAGCGGAAACAACTGGATCTTTTAAGGAATTGTTTTATATTCAGATTAAACACCGGATTAGCTTCAATGTCACTATGTTCACGGTGTGATCGAGTTGACCTGAAAAACTCTTCATTTGAACGTTCATTGAGGAATTGGAACAAAATGAAGAATTGAGATGACATTGAACTCAAAAAACCAATGAGAAAGTTTTGTTCTGATGTATAGTTTCCGAAATAGCGATGAGATGTTTTAAAAGGTGATAAATCAATGCTACATTTTTGTTGTAACCAATAGAAGCCATTTTTGTGGTATGTTTGGCTTGGTTATAATTGTCACAAGTTTAGACTCTGCTTGAAGTGAGTTGTCGGTTATGTCTCACTATGCCTAGAACAAAAGTAACGTATGCAAAGTAGTTTTTTTTTGATAATTCAACCAGCAGTTTTCTTTGTTCGTGCTCAAAGACGGTTTAATTGTAAGTCTAGTACGTGTAGATTGTATCAAGTGCCATTTGATGCTTTGTTTTTGATAACCTCAGTCTAACGCTCAGAAATTATGAGATATACGCTGAACAATGTGAACTCGAAGAATTAATAAATCATCATATTTTATGTGCTCAATTAAAATGGGAGGGCGCATAATGTGATTTGCAGCTTTGAGGGAAATAAAATTGAGAAATTATCTTTTCTAATTATAGCAAAATACTATCTCAGAAAGGCAGCTTTTTCCCTGGAATCAAATTAATTCGATTTTATTGGTGTTGCGTTTTTTGGCGCTGAATGCTGCTGCCGATGGTACAGTTTTACAGTTTCTCCCGCGTCTTAAAATCAAACGATTCCATAAATAATTCACAAACAAACGGCATCCGCGTAGTTTGAGATGCATACACAGACAAGTGTTTTTGACTGGCGGAATGATTTTGACGTTCTTTCTTTCTTTATTATTTTTGAGGGAATGTCCCTTAGTAAGTCCAGTAATATTTGTTTTAGTAATAGTTTAATTCCTGGCTGCTGCTGCTGCTAATCAGAATCCCTTTGTCTAGTAAATTCGTGGTCATTTAACCAGTGTTGTCGAAGAGAAGATTTTTTTTTGATCTTCTGTCATTTTGCTGCTTTGTGTTGTATTTTGAAAAGTCTTTGAAGGCATTCATAATCTCACAGCTGATATTTTTTTTACAAGTTCAATTGTGTAATCACTATATTTGCTTTAAAATTAATAATCAAACAAGCGCAGGAGACCGCAAGAAATTATGGTATAGAAAACATAAAATATTTTTTCCGTGCAGTTGTTGATTGCTTGTTTCTCAAGTAAGCGCTTTTGAATGCAAATAAGATACGTTTGATCAGAGCTCAAATTTTAAAAAGATAAATTTTTGGTCAAATTGCTACCGACAAAGTGTTTCATTTGTTGTATGCACCTCAAGCGGTCGACCGAAACAAAATTATTAAATTGGGATTAAAAACTACAGACAGCGTATAAAAATGCGTAGACTGTTTTAATTTTGAAGTGTATAATTATGCATCAATAAGTACGTTTTTAGAAGTCAAATGACTCATTCTTTTAATTGAACCAAGCAAAATCTCGTCGTCGTATGGTAATTTTGAAACTTTTATGAGACGAACAATAATTGGTGACAGTTTGTTGAGTAAAGTTTGCCTTTTTGAGCTGCTGTAATTTTGAACCGTTGAAGTATCAATAAGAAAATTGAGATTTTTGTCTCCATTTTTTTGACATTTTTAATTTTAATGCGTTAAATATTTATCCTAAGCTCAGGAAAATGTCAAGATCATTTTAACAAACCAATAAAATTGCCACGCCTTGTTGAGTAAAGTTTGCCTTTGTGAGCTGCTGTAATTTTGAACCGTTGAAGTATGCAAAAGAAAATTGGAGATTTTTGTCTCCATTTTTGTGACATTTTAAAATTTAACGCGTTAAATATTTATCCTAAGCTCAGGAAAAATTTGAGATGATCATTTTTACAAAGCAATAAAACTGCCACGCCTTGTTGCTGTTTAGAAATGCGACTAAGTTTGAAGTTACAGAATTAAAAACAGAAGTGGTATGTAACAAATTTCCTCATGCCTTGCTCACGAACTTGTCCCAAGGTAATATTTTCTAGTGATTGCTCAATTCATTGGTTGAAATTACTAGTCGAGTATGGAAATGAAAGTACATAATTTACATCGAATGGACCTGCTCACGAGATAAGAACTTTATTTCAGAAGATGAAATAACAGTCTAGACAGAGATAAGTGATCTTTTGAAATTTAAACTGCATGCAAGAACAGCTACAACAACTGGAAATTGTTATTCTAGGTGTCGACATTATGTGGTTGGTTGGATATCAGCTATTTAATTATTTTGGGAAATAAGGAATAGAACATTAAATTGCATTGTTAGCAATTTAATAAATGAAAGCAGCGTCCTATATTTTTCAGATAAAAAATTTGACCTCAACCGCGATGCCCGTGAAAGCAGTTTGTGTTTTGGGAAACAGTTCTACAGGAGTACAAGGGACCATCACATTCGAACAGGAGTCGCAAACGTCGGCAGTTGTGCTCAAAGGAGAGATCTCTGGGTTGACACCGGGTAACCATGGGTTCCACGTGCACGAGTTCGGAGACAATACTAACGGATGCACGTCGGCAGGTGGACATTTCAACCCTTACAAGAAGCAGCACGGAGCTCCAGTTGACGAGAGCAGACATGTGGGGGACCTTGGAAATGTAATGGCAGGAGAAGACGGAATTGCCAAGATAGAAATTGAAGATACCTTGGTAAGGTCATAAAGCAAGCTAGCGAGCCAAGTTTTATATTACGAAAGATCTTTTCCAACCCAATCTCGCCATTAAAAGTGCTCATTTGGTGGCATTTTTGCTTCTTTAGCATTGGCAATTTATTAGTAGCAGTCTATCAGCTATTTTAATAGCTAGTGTTTGCATTTTGTCAAGCAAAAATGGAGCAGATACGAGGGCGGGGCTCTTATAATTTCCAGCACGGGAGTTCCATTCCGGCACATAGTGAAAGTTAATACTTTTTAAGGCTTTTTTGTCTTCTCTTTCATTTCACTTGCTTTTTTAGAACTACTTTCTCCGCCAAGGCAGCTTTGCTAATGTGTTAAGTTGATTCATCCACGGGCGAAAGGTATAAAATACGAGTATAACATACATATAGTTACGAAGAACCATTGATGTACTTGACTAAGATGATGATGATGATGATTGGCTTTACCACTCTTTCTTGAACACAAGAGTGGTAGAAGGCTCACAAAGCCTCACAGAATAAAACAGTTTTCAGGGTTCGTTTAAACAGCGTAAAATCAATAATATCTGTTAAGAGAACAGGCAGTGAGTTCCAAATAACAGCTCCTTGGTAGGCAATGCTCTTTTTGGTAAATTCTGTTCTGCATTTCGGAAGGATAAACTTTTGTCTGCGCGAAGGGTTGACAGAAGCAGAATTCTTTTTGAAAAGATTGTATAAATAATCGGCACAGTTCCAATTGTGAAACACGGGAAACATAAAGCAGCATATTTTGAACCTAATTCTTTGGTAAACTGGAAGCCAGTGTAATTTCTTCAGTAACTCGTTTGTTAATGCTGTTCTTCTCGTAGCACCTAAAACAAACCTGGCGGCAGCGTTTTGAACTTTCTGTAGTTTAATAAGTAAAATTTTATTCACTTTCATATATAACGCATTGCAATAGTCAAGCCTTGACAGAATAAAGCTAGTAACAAACATTTTTCTTTGGTCTAAAGTCAGAAAACGTCGAATGGAATATAATTTACGCAATTCTAGATAACATAACTTGCAACAATGGTTTATTTGCTTTTCAAATGACATGTTGTAATCAAGGTAGAACCCCAAAAGTTTGGTAAAGCATTTAGGAACCTTTTCTTTATTAAAAATTTTCACTGGCTTTAAATAATTGTGATGCAGTTGTCTACCGAAAAACACTACTTCTGTTTTTCCATCGTTTTTATTAAGACTTAAGTGCAATTGGGAGCATAATTTTTCAATGTTTTCTAGTTTGGTTATTTTGCATGAGATTAATCTCCAAAAACAGTTGAGAATCATCGGCATAAAAGTGGTACGCAATGTTGCTATCAATAAGGTAATCAAGAAGAGGTTGTAAATAAAGGATGAATAAAATCGGCCCCAAAACAGAGCCTTGTGGGAATCCAGTTTCGACCTGAATTTTGTCTGACAGACTACTATTTACCAAAACTTGTACAAAGCGGTTACTAAGATAAGTTTCAAAGAATTGTTTAACTGTGTGCTCAATACCAATTTTGTTTTCAAGAATCTTTAATAACAATGAATGGTCAATTGTATCAAACGCAGCAGAAAAATCCATTTGAACAACGTAAAAACACTTTTCCGAATCAATTTTAGAATTTATATAATGAGAACAGAGCAAGAGACCACTCTCTGTTGAATAACCTTTACGGTAAGTCGACTGAAATTGAGGCCAAAGCCGATTTGAGGTTAAATGTTCACTCATCTGTGAAAATACAAGCTTTTCAGTAATTTTTGACAATGCTGACAAATTAGTAATCGGGCGATAACTTGACATAGTTTCTTGGTTTAAGCCATGTTGTAGAAGTGGTCTGATGACTCCTTGTTTAAAAACATCAGGAAAAACGCCAGATAACAGAATGCAATTAAAAAGATCTGTAAAAAATTGTATATTCTCGGCAATAAAATCTTTTAAGAACCGAGTAGGAATAATGTCCACAGGTGACTCTGAGGTCCGTAAATCATCTAATACGTCGAGTAGATCTATTGGAAAAAAACTAGCGAACTCAGACCATACGACTAGATCATTTGACGTACAATCCAGGCTACTATTAGTTTTTGGCAGTTCATCAACTATGTCGTTTACCTTTTTCTTAAAGAAAATGTTAAACCTGTTTGCTAGGTCGAAAGTAGATGAGTTCACAGGAAGTGTATCATTCTTGTGATTCATCAGTTCATTAAGGCAATAAAAAATCATTTTCGAGCTCTTAGAAGAAAAATTGAGAGTATAGTAATCATTACGTTTTATCGAAAGTACAGATCTGTAGTAAGCGACTTGTGCTCGGTACGCTTCACGGTTTTCCGGGATGTCATGTTTCCTAACTTCGCGTTCCAACTTTCGTTTTTTCCTTTTTTCCCTTTCGCATTCGGCATCGTAGTAATGGGGTTTACCATCACGACTGATCTTCTTTTTAACAGTTACAATTTCACTTCTTTTCAGGACAGATGCATCATGAAAGGTATTAAATAACGAGTTAACAATCATTGAAGGACAGTTTGATTGTAAAATAAAATCAGACTTAGCAATTGCAGAAGTCTCAGTTAAAATAGAATTAAAAATGGAAACACGATCAGCTTGATCCCAAAGCCATTTCACTTTTAAATTGACGTTGGAGGGTGCAATAGTCACTGCAGAAGAATTAATAATCAATGTAACACAGTAATTGTCTGAAGCTAGTGTTCTGTCGAGTGCGACAAAATTTGTAACCCTATAGTTGAAGAATATCAAATCTAGTTCATTGCCACCAACGTGAGTGGGGCCAGAACTGTATCGATAAAAACCCATTTCCTCCATACTAGATAATCAGGCTTCAGAAGAATTACACGACTTATTAACTGGAATATTGAAATCCCCAATAATGTAACACCATTTGTATTGTAGCGCATAATGTGTAACCAGCTCAACCAATTCATTTAGGAAAATTGAACATGAAGAATTAGGGCAGCGATATAAAATAAAGATGCACACATTCATGTATGTAAGTGTAAGTTCAGCGACCAAGAATTCCCAAATATCACGAATTGACTGCTCAATTAGCTTAATTCGGAAAGTGTTGAGATAGAAAATTCCAATGCCCCCACCCCGAGTGGGACGATTGTTACCAATGTAGTTATAATTACAAGGCTTCGCAAGATTTACGTAAAATAAGCTATCTTCAGATAACCAAGCTTCAGTAATTGCAAGAAAAGTGACTTCATTTGCAAGTAGGTACGAATAAATTGAATCCGTCTTATTACATATCGATCGAGCATCCCACAGTGCACAAACATGAATACTCGTCTCTGATTGTCAATTGAGCGATCTCAGCCAAGTTCTGGCTTCTTCGTTCAGGAAATAACGACGTACTATAATATTCTCAGGCCAAGTCTCTGCTTTCTCGGCTACGATACTTTCATTCACTGGAATGACTACATGGAAAGATTTCATATCTGCCCTTTTTGAGGGCAGCTCACGGCAACCAAGAAGAGTAAGGTTCTTTTCTTTGCAGTAATCGTTAAACATGGTCGTGTCAACAGTAGAAGAATCTGGCTAAGAAAATAATGCCTTCTTTACTCCCGCTCCGAAGGTTTCACACCTTTAATGCTTGTAGATGCAGCCGATGTGCCAACAAGAACCGTTACCTTCACAGGCGAAGTCCGCCGTCGTTTCTCAGTACGTGTAACAGATACTTGGGACGAAGTACTATCAGTTCGTTGGTTCCTTCGGAAAGGGTTTATAATGCCACTTGAACAACTTTTGTTCAATTTCGCTACATTTGCAAACGTCTCTGGTTTCAGAGTAAAGTTTTGCGATTTCAGGCTCTCTACGTCTTTTTCAAGTTTATCAATTTTGTTCATCTTTAACAAAATTTGCTCGAAAATGGACAGTGTACTTATCTTAGAGCAGTCAGGGAACCTCCACTGAATTGAACCACATATCACAGCTGCAGAGGTCAATCCAATACAGGCTCCCTTGATGCATCGTGATCGACACATATCACAGGATAGCACATCATCATCGTCAGCAATTGTTGATTCGCAGCAAGAACATTTATGGGAATGACCATTGCCATTCCCGACCATTTCCATTTTTATATGAAACTATTTATATGAAACTATACTAAGACCTATATATAATTATTTTTGTTTTGTTTCGATAGCGGAAATGTTGCCTCAACATTATGAGAGGAGAACGGATAGGCATGGACCGCAAACCACCAATTACCAGCTGAAATATAAAGACTTTACCCACTTTGCCATAGCTCTCATTCATCTGATAGTTCCCACAAACCACAAACGATATTTTGAGCGATTTACATATCACTCAAAGTTCGAAGTCTGTTAAATTGAGTTATTATGTCTGCTCCACTAAACGTAATTTGTATTACACCGTTCCCTCTCAATCAGCTGAGTTTTGAAACTTGCTTTTCTTTTGAAAGCGTTATACACTCAGAATCCTCCTTATATTAAGGGCTAGTGAACTTCTACTGCTATTGTGAGCTGAGCAAGCAAGATATATTGCATTGATCATGTTTCCAATTGTAGTTTCATGTATCTCATGTTAAGGTGCAACTGATCGGCGAACACAGTGTAATCGGTAGGAGTCTGGTTGTTCACGCTGACGAGGATGACTTGGGAAAAGGCGGATACGAAGACTCCCTGACCACGGGGCATGCCGGCGGCCGCATGGCATGTGGTGTGATTGGCATCGCCAAGTAGAGCAACTGGGGGAGAAGAGAGGTGGGAACTGAAGATAACCGATCTTACTTCTTAGAATTGTAATCTACTAGGATGTATCACTCCATATCCAGAACCTCAAAAGCAGATGATGATCATCGGCAAACTACGTAGAAATAAAAAACCAACTTAACCGAATTGAACTGAACTCAGATTTGATGACAAACTACACTGCATTCAACCGTTGAAGCATCTGACAGATGTTTGTTGAATGTATGGTCAAATATGTTAAATAAATGCTGCTTTGGTTTAAAACATTATTTCCAGTAGAAATTAATCTAATGTGTACAAAATATATTTACATCTGAACCATTTCAATGAGTGGACGTTTCAAGTGCGCAATTAGCACAGGCAATTTTGACTGACATACTCTTTTCATCAAGAACTTAATCAATATAAAGCGTTCTAAATGAATCGATGTCTTGTTAAGTGTTAACCACTTTTTTCATTATTTATAAGTGAACATTAAGACATGTTGATATCGCTAAAATTGTTGCGTTGGTGGTTTGAAATTTTTGCGTTTTCAGTTTCATTTTCCAAGGGAACCCAAAGAGTAAAATAGTCTTGAATCAGTAGCGGACTTAAGGGTACCCGGTTACCCCTTTGGTACTAATTTTCGGCATCAATATTTAAAGACGAACCCTAAAGCACTTCGGAGCATAAATCAAACAAATCAAGCGGATGAGCGCGCGCCCAAAAAACGCAATTATCTCTTCAACGCCTTCCAAAAAAGGCGCCAAATATTTTTGGGCCAATGTTTTGTTTTCAACATAGGAGCTTTTTAAGAGTGGATGCAAGTAGTTCAGACTCATATATAGGACGCGATGATGTTTTTTGTTTCAGGAAAAGTCTTAGAATTAGTTCAGGCTCAAATTTCCTTTTTTTGCGGTTCGACTTCTGATTTTTTAAGATCAGTTCCTTTTCTTTGGTAAAAGGTAGGCAAATTTGACTAGCAAACAGTGGAATTGTAAAGATGACAAAAGACGTGATCGACTTCTAATTTCGAAAATGGAATTAAATTATCAGATTTCCCAACGAAATAAAAACTATACCTACTGATCCAGTTTTCTCAATTGAATTAATTTTATCTAAAAAAGGCACCAACTTAAATTGTTCGTGAAATTCAATGACGTTTAAGGGTTTACTATTATTATTTTTTAAATTTGGAAGGTGAAGTTTTTTTTTTAAAAACAATTCAGTTTTTGTTCTTTCTTTTTGTTCATTACTCTTTTTTCCAACTGTCAGTTGGCTATGTTTTTTTAAGTTCACTTCATTTCTTTTGTTAAAAGGAAGGCAAACTCAACTATCGAACAGCAAAAACTTAAGTCATGAAAAATACTGGATCATTATTACGATTGATGGAAAAAATATCATTAGCAAAAGTTTTTTTATCAATTAAATTGATTTCCCCGAATATGAAATAGATTGGGGTTTTTTTTGAACTTCTGGCCAATTTTTTTGACAAAATTAAGTTGGTTTATTACTCAAGTAAAGCTTGTGTGATAGTTTGAACTCTTTCTTTCCACCCTAAGTCGCAAATATTGTTGCGACAAAATGTGTTCATTTTGAAAGTGTTCATTTTGATCAATAACCAGCTTTCAAGTACAGCCAATGCTAAGGATATTAACAAAGACTATTAAATTACAAATAGCACTTTAGCTTCAAGGTATCATGCATCTGGTAGCGTAGAGGTAAGGAAGTAGACCAGCAACAAAATAAGAGGGTTCGAACCTGGGCAGGGTCGTATATTTCTAATAAATTTTTTTCGTATACGCTCTATAAATTGAGGCATGTTAGTCATAAATTTCTTTTTTTTTTCAAATTGAGTGGTACTGCTAATACGCATAATTGGCTTGCGTCACTTAGCAATTATGTTGACTTATAGTTTGCGTGCGTCATTTAAGAAATTTTGTAGGCTCAAAATTTTACTCATTCAGTTTTTCCCAGTAGCGTTATCTGTCATATTTTAACTTGTGTACGCGAAGTGCAATTTCGCCTCTGTGTATCATATTTTTAATTTTTTTCAGGGTCAGTTATTTCCGAATTCACATTAAAAGGTAAGGGTCATTTGGGTCATTTGAAAGCTGTGAGGCTAATTTGGGTCATTTGAAAGCTGTGAGGCTAAAGCGGTAACAATTTGGGTCATTTGAAAGCTGTGAGGCTAAAACAAACGCGTGTTAACTAACGACTTTTTGAATATTCTTATAGGCTCGCAGATTTCAATACCTTATATATGTTTGATTCATCGTTTATTTTGTGACTTCGAAAAAAACAGCTCACAGTCGCAACAGTTTGGTGTTAAATACACTTGCGAAGCAAGTGTATTAGTACGAACCTTCTTTTTCAGTTTTGGGGCAACTTAATAGCTTTATGATAGCATGTGCTTTGATATTCTAATAGTATTAAGTTAACACAGGTGATGCATTTTGTTTTCATCAAATGAACCGAAAAAAGTGATTGGTTTCAAACAACGTAACAATAATGAAAACTCGATCTGAGAAATTTTTTAACTCAATATATCTTGCAATTTTTGGAAATGCAGAGTTTATACATAATGTGGCTTTATGCTTTGCAATTTATTACATGCAAAGTCAGTGTGGGTGCCTTCAGTTTGTTTCAATCCAAGTTTTTACATGCAAAATCAAATCTATTTGTACTTGGTGCCACTTTTGCTGAATGGCATAGGCAAGTTGTTGGCATATTTAGCTGCTTTATTAATGACTAGTGTTTGTCGGTTGTTAAGCTTGCGTGGCTGATTGGATAGTGCATGAGACTCAAAAGTTCTTGATTGCAGTTGGTCGCTGATTCGAATCCTACTCGTAACCCAGTTTTTGCTAATTCGTGGCTTATTTCACTTGATAGCTGCTTTTTGGTCGTGTTCTCGCAAGTGTTTGCCAAGCGCAGCTTCGCTTGTCTAAAAGTAAAAAACTAAATGATCTAAAAACTCATTTTATCTCATGTTCGGGGAATTCGTTGGATTGATAAAAATAAAACATCAGAGCAAACTTATTTTTTCTTTATTTGTTTTTTCGATCAATCAAGTTTGTTTTCCAGTGTTTGCGGATTGGATTTAGTGCTGCAGAAGGTGTGTGTAAATAAGAAAGAGAAATTGATTTTAAAAATGGAGCAGCTATACAAAAAAAACTTGAAATAGGTAAAAACTTGAAGTTGCTTTCTTATTAACAGAAATCAAATAACCGACAGTTAACTCCAGATGCCAGTATTATTACACTTTTGAGCGTATTGTAATAGAAAAACGGTTGCTTCTTTTCAAATTAAGTCGCAAATATTGGTGCCACTTTAAGTGGCAACGGCTTTTATAAGCATGAGGTTTGACATTTAATTAGTAATCAGTTGACAAAGTTAATTCATTTTCAACTCATCAAATCAAACGAATAAAGCTGTTTGTTTCAAACAACAGTGCAATTTTTAAAACTCTTTCAGAAGTTTTTCGACCCCATATCTAGCAATTTTTTGAGATGCATAATTTGGCTTTATGTTGCCAGTTATTACATGCGAAGTTAGTGTGGATGCCTTCAGTTTGTTATATTCCAACATATTATATGAAAGGTTGTGTCTTTTTGTATTTCGTGTCAATTTTGCAGCACCTCATTGGCAATTCATTAGCATGTGTAGCTGCTTTGTTTGTGGCTAAGGTTACTAAATTGTCAAGGTCCCGTGGCACAGAGTTTTGATTTTTTTAAATTAATTTCATTTTTTTGTTGAAGGAAAGCAAACACCATAATTGAATAGCAAAAGTGTAACTGTCACGACGTTACGAGTTTCCCAGTGGAATAAAAATTTACCTACTGGTCCAGTTTTCTCAAATTTGGCTAGTTTTATCAAAAAAACTGTCAAATACAAATTGTTCTAGAAACTCAAAGTGTTTCAAGGCTATATGTTTTACTTTGAAGTTCGTAAGTTGAAGTTTTTTCAAAAATTAAATTCTTTTTTTTTGTTTTATTTTGTTCATGACTCTTTTCCAATTGGAAATGTTTACTTACAGATTTTCACGCTTTCTTTCCCAAGATTGAAATACTGAAATCTGATTGGCTGATTTTTATTCTCGCCCATTCGGTTCATGGCCTATGAGAGATTCCACCTTAGGCGAAGACCCGAATAGGCGAAAATAAAAATCAGATTTCAGTATTCCAAAATTTGGAAAGAAAGCGTCAAAGTAAACCTTTCCAAGGGCTTAGTATTAATGTGGGCCTAATATAAAAACGGCAGAAATATGAAAAATTGTCACTGACCCTCAGAGAATTGGAATAATTTTAATATTTCAAGGGTTTTGTTATAAAAGGAGCAAAATATTGCTTCATTTAATTCCTTTTAGTTGAATGGCAATTGATTCATTTTAACAAATGACTTTCGGCCGTTTTAGTTTCGGTCCTTTGTCCATGAGTCTTTCGCCCATTCGGTTCTTCGCCCATAGAGTAGCCCCCTAAAATTCGGTTTAGTTCAGTTTTTCGAGCTGGACATAATTACACTCTCAAAGACAAATCATCCTCGGCATGCGCATAAGCGTACAATATAGATGGTGTAACATTGGTAGTGCTCACAGAAGCCATTATCAATGAACACTTAATTTCTTGATGTAGGTTGAAATTACTATCTCGCATAAAGTTTTCTGAAACAATGTTTTTCAAATTTTTAGTTGTGACCGGTCGACCCGTAACCCAACCCGTAAACAAATGACCGATTGGGCAGGGCCGGGTCGAGAAAAAAGAACGTTTTCCACCCCCGGATTCCTTAAAGGCAAGCCGTAGTTTTCAAGGGGACCCCGTAAGTCAAGCCATATGTTTCAAAGGGATCTGCCCGAGATCTAAGGGCTCCTATAAAGGACCACCAAAAACATCACGATAAAGAATCACCTTGATCAAATCTAAATAACCATTTTTAGGGAATCTAAAGATGATCCTTAAAGGATCATCATAAAAGATCACCTTGAGGCAATCTTAATTCCATTAGACCAACTCTTGGGTGTTGGCCAAGCCCTTTTTGGGATTAATACATTCCTGCCTTCAGAAAATTGCCTCAGACTTTCGTAACGCAAGCTACTTAATCGCTTACAGTACGTCTAGACTTCTGCCAAACGGCAAAACGACGAAGTCTTAAAAGGGACGAAATAAGTTCAGTATGTTGAACCCCCCTATATATGATGTTTTGGTATAGTAAAGCAATCAAATTTTGAAAAAGCGATAGAGGCTAAAATTATTATAAAAGATTGAAATCAGAAGGGGTGAATTCAGCGAAAAAGGCGAAAGTGGTTGATCTATAAATTATTTTACGAGAAAAGAACCAAAAACGAT